ATAGCCTTTTCTCAATTGAACTGAATTGTTTTCATGGCAAACAATTGAATTCCTGGCAGTGAGCAGTGAGTTGACCTGCAATACTGTGTTCTAACCACTGTGCTGCCACGGCTCTTACATAATGTAAGATATGTACCAATGTACCAATATGAATTTTAAAACTGATTTTGTAGTTCTTATATTTTTTTCATCCAAATGGTTTTTTTTTAAAGGTCCTTTCCAAGGTGTTTTCTTTCTTAAAGTTCTACAAGTAACACTATTCCAAAGCTTTCATGCTATTCCAGATTTCTAATATAAGCACATATTCTCCCATCTTTATTTTTGTAATGGAAAAATAATTGAACATCCTCCTTAGTGTTACATCTCTTGATCTGCAACTTATCTATTTAAAGCCAGGGGGAGCATGTCTGATAAAGTAATGTAAGTAGAGATGGATGGACACAAATAACTGCAGCCAGATGGCTGGCTTTCACATTAGTTTCCCTAATGGGAATAACATGATAGAATTGCCACCTGTCCAAGTGATCTCGAGGCTCAGGTTAAATAATAAATTTCCTCCTCTTGGCAACTGATTGCTGATGCTTTGTAGGCTGATGAGTAACTTGGAGTACTTGATAATAATATGTGTATTGATCACATCGTACAGTCCTCTTGATGATTCACATTTAAAATTTTAATGGATATGTATATATATTTGTAGCTAATAAGAAAACATTTCTGATTCCTGTTGTTGCTATTTCATCTGAGGAACATGAGGAAGAAAATGTCATATCCTAATTGGCTCATTTTTTTTAACTCTTGTTTTTTTAGAGTAAAAGAAAACAGGCCTGGAATCACAATATCATATACAGTAATTCCCCCCTTCCTGTTCTTTGCTCTCTACCATCATTTTTTTTTTTTTTGTAATCATATAGTTGTATTTCTTGTGTTCTTTTTCATTATTTATTTAATTGCTATATTATCTTTTATTCTGTTCGGACTCTTTTCATTTCTTCCTTTTTATTGTTGTAAGCTGCCTAGAGTAGCTGCATGGTGAGATAGGTGGAAATAAATTTAACAAATCCATTAAATAAATAAATATATTCTTTATTAATTAGGTGTCTAAAAAGATGGGTGTACTTTCAGGATTTCAGCACTGGGTTTTCCACTTGAAATAAATAATATTAAACAACAAAACCATACAACAACACTGAGGCAGGAGAACAGGAAAGTGTATTTATAGAGTGAGGAAATTTTTTTTTATCCTATATACGAAATACTTAGAAAAATAGTGTATATTACATTTAATGTTTTTGTTATAAATATATTCTCTCTGAAACAAGATCTATTGATAACTTTTCAATAACAAAATTTTAACTTTATCTGAATATCAAGTTTATACTTCAGTTATAGTCCATCTATGAAATATGTCTTTCTGTAACTGGGTTCTCCCAGTTATATTTTATTTATTTTATTTTGTCAAGCATGTATTAGATAACAGATATAAGTATAAACATGATTATGAATACATGAAATGGATATGAATAAAAAGGGACATTTGGGTAGGGATGGTAGGCACGTTGGTGCGTTTATGCACCCCCCCCCTTACAGACCTCTTAGGAATGGAGTGAGGTCAACAGTAGACAGTGTAAGGTTAAAGTTTTGGGGGTTTGGAGAAGAAGCCACGGAGTCAGGTAATGCATTTCAGCCATTAACAACTCTGTTACTGATATCGTATTTTCTGCAATCAAGTTTGGAGCGGTTTACCTTAAGTTTGTATCTATTGTGTGCTCATTTATTGTTGTGTTGAAACTGAAGTAGTCATTGTAGCAGATAATTTTATGTACTATGCTTCAGGGGTGAAGTGCTCTCGGTTCAGAATGGATCGCCAGATCCGGTAACAGTGGTGGTAGCAGTGGGTGGTTTGGAGAACCGGTAGCAAAAATCCCTGCCAACCCCCACCCCCATGACCAGCTGAGCTGTGCGATCATCAGAGGCTTTTTTTTTACTTTTACTTTGGTCAGACCAAAGACGGCGTAGTTCTAAATTGTCTAAGCCCAAAATTTCAAGTCTGGTGGCATAAGGTATTCTATTGTGAGCAGAGGAGTGGAGGACTCTTCTCGTGAAATATCTATGGACTCTTTCAATTGTATTAATCTCCAATATGCAGTGTGGGTTCCAGACAGATGAGCTTTATTCGAGAATTGGTCTAGCAAATGTTTTATATGCTCTAGTTCAGTGATGGCTAACCTTTTTGCCATTGCGTGCCAGGAGAGGGGAGGGTGGGGGAGGTTCGCACATGCACATGCCCACACTCATAATTCTATGCACCCTGCCCTGCGCATGTGTGCGCAACCTCCCTCCCCCTCCGCTTCTGGCATGCGATGGCCCGGTAGACCCGTTTTTCTTTCTTACCTGGCTCCAGATCCTCTGTATACATCTGTGGAGGGCAAAAACAGCCTTTCCCACTCCCTAGGAGTCTCTGGAAGCTGAGGACAGCAAAAAATATCACTTCCTGTCCCACCGGGAGTTGGCCTCCTGAGGCCTCCGAGGGGGTGGGAAAGGCTGTTTTCGCCCTCCGCAGATGCATAGAGAGGATCTGGAGCCAGGTAAGAAAGAAAAAGGGGGCCTTCCCCACCCACCCCCAGGCCCTCCAGAGGCAGGAAACAGCCTACTTCTGGTGGGCCCAGAAGGCCCGAAAATCAGCTGGCCGGTGCATGCATATGCGCCTGAGCTGAGCTGGCGTGCCCACTGATATGGCTATGTGTGCCACCTGTGGCACACGTGCCATAGGTTCGCCATCACGGCTCTAGTTAGTAGTACAATATTACCAGAGAAGACACTATGAAAGATTAGGTTAACAACTCTTAATGCCTTTTTGGCAATGTTGTTACAGTGGGCTCTGGCATTTAGATCTTTAGAAATGAGTACTTCAGGGTCCTTGACAGAGTGAGGGTCGTCGACAAGGTCATGTCCATCTAGCTTGTATTTTATGTTCTGATTTTTTTTGCCGATGTGTAAGACAGAGCATTTTTTGATTGAGATTTGAAGTTGCCACTTGTTTGACCAATCTGACACATAATCAAGGTCTTTTTGAAGAGTAGCAGCATTGTCAGTGATGTTGAATAGTTTTACATCATCAACAAAGAGAACGCAGTTGCTTTTAATATAATCGCAAAGGTCATTTATATAAAGTATAAAGAGAGTTGGTCCTAAAACGCTGCCTTGGGGAACACCGCTGTTAACAGGTACAGAATTTGATAGAGCGCTTCATATTTTGACCACTTGTTGCCTGTTTGACAGGAAAGCAGCTATCCATTTATGCAGGAGTCCAGAAATGCCATAAGAAATGCCAGAAGTAGTTTGTCATGTACCACTGAATCAAAGGCTTTATAGAAGTCTATGTAAATTGCGTCTATTGCTTTGCCCTGATCATATGTTTTTGCAGTGAAGTAGTTACAGATTATAGGATAATTTTCTTCTGAAACCAAATTGTTTGTTGGAGAGTAGGTTGTTTGTCTCTAGGTGGAGGGTAATGGATTGGTTAATGATTGATTCCATGACTTTGCAGGTGATGCAACATAAAGACATTGATCTTTCAACTAGGCTGGGGTCTCCCTTTTTGAAGATAGGGATGACCATGGCTAGTGACCATTGGTTGGGCAAGGTGCTGGTCCTGAAAGATTTTTCAAAGATTATGCTTAGAAGTTCTGCTACTGCAGTGGAAAGCTTTTTTAAGAAGTTGGCACATAGTCCATCAGGTCCAATAGATAGAGATGGTTTTAGACTCTGTAGTGCCTTTTCAATGTTGTCTTCTGTAAAATCAATATGTATTAAATCATTGTAATCGTTGTAATTATTTGTGATACAACTCGGAAATATTGGGTATGTGCTGTTGCTGTTTACAAAGACTGAGCCGAAGAATGTGTTAAAGAGATTGGCTTTAACGGTTTCATCATTACTGTCTTGTTGCTGCTGTCATATTTGGACCTTTTAGGGGTGGGATGGATCTCGATATATCCTCTGTTGGTTTGCAGCCTTTTTTTAAAATGTATTTTAATGCATTTTGTTTATAGGAAGAGTTCTGCATGGGTATTTTGGCACAGGAATGTATGTACAAATATTTGTTTAGTATGTACAAAAATGATTATTACTAATATTAGCTTGAGCAAAATTCTACTGAATATATTTTCAGAATTCTTTCATTGATTAGTTTACCTTTTCTCATTTTTTTCAAAATCCTTTCATAGTTAACTTATTGAAACTGCAATTAATTTATGAAGTTATGAAAAAGTTAGAAAAATTAAGATTTAGTAGAATTGTTGGCTGTAACAGATAAATTCAGCAAAAAGATAATGGTCCATCTAATAAACATTGAAGTAACTATGCAAATATTTCCCTGATTGGATCTGTTATGACAAATGTTTGATTGCATATCCATTAATAATTTGGCAACCATAAGCTCTAGTATCCTATTTACAGTTCTTATTCATTGAAAAGGTTGGAAAAAGAACTGAAAAAGCATTTCATTAAGCAAACACAATTTACCTGACTATTGTAGTGCAAGAACAGACTAAGTTATAGTTCTTACTAACTATACAGTGACCGATTTTAAAGAAAGTAGAATTCTTGAACTCAGTTAGTTTCAGTTATGTATTCTTCTGTTGTTAAAATATTTATACTCCTAAAGCAGACTCACTGATCTTCTATGCTATGCTAATGTGACTGACATTAGACTACCTTCATTCCACTGTATCTTTTGCCAGTAGATAGTTATTAATATCACAATTTTTTTTCCAAGACTGTCTCTTTGGAAAGAAGACAGTTCTCCTCCCTGTAGATTCACATAAAAGTGTCTTTTTCTGATTGTTTGAGAGCATAATGCAGACAATATCACAAGAATTTATTCTTGTAAGGTTGCAGAATAAATGGAAGTGTTCTTTTCAATTGTATTTTGGGATATTACTCTTATTAATATATTGCAATGTGTATCTTTATCTATACATGTTTCAATTTTTCAGGTTCAGAGGACTACAGGAGTAGATTCAGTGGGGAGTGTTTTATGGACCTCATCTGTCCTGAGAAATGCCGCTGTGAGGGAACATTTGTGGACTGTTCCAACCAAAAGCTTACTAGGCTTCCAAGCCACCTTCCAGAATATACCACAGATCTGTAAGTGCAATATGTTTGTAAGAAAAACTATAAAATGCTTCACTATAAAAATTATTATTATTTGTGGCTCCAGCCAGATGTTATCAAATATATCAATGGACAATGTTTACTGACAGAACCTAGCCAATCTTGAAAATCTAAATTGATGTTAAATTGATTAATACATGAATGGATAACTATGATGAAAGTATTATAGAATCTCCAACCCGTAATCTGGATTAGGAGATTGGATTGGTAAAATATCAGGTAGGAGACAACAGCAAAGAATTTCAATATTTTTGCCAAGAAAGCTACATGGATGTGTCCATGAAGTCTTCTGCTTTGAGAATCAAGGCATCTGACTTTCATGTCATTCTTATAAAAACTCTTTAAAGTAAGCTAAACAGAAAAAAGGATTGACCCACAGCAACCAGGGAACTTCATGATTGAGGAAATTGGAACCTGTGTTTCTCTAATCTACTTCAACACAATTACAACTATATAGCTTTCCTTTTCACAATATTCTGCAATGAATATATATGTAGGTGCTGAGGCATTTGGAACCAAAGGTGTTTCAATATTATTATTTTTATTTTTCAAAAGTCGTCTACACGATAATGATATTTCAATTCTGGAAGCTACTGGAATATTCAAGAAGCTCCCTAGTCTACGAAAAATGTAAGTAATTTCTTTTATTTGTTAATAGAATCCTGCTGGCTCAAATATGAAATATTCAGAATGCATGCTTATGTATATTTAACTGAAAATAAGTCCCATTCCAAAACATTTTATGTTGGGTTTTTTAATCCAACCACTATGGTTTAGAAAGCATTGGTTATTTTATGGACACAGCTTACTGTGGTAGTTTTGGAACAGGGTGAAAGAAGGTAGCAGTGTATAAGGTTTCTTATTAACTAGCTATTGTTCTTTTAGTTGCTCTTTCAGTTTTGTCAGGACAAATCCAAGCAATATGACATATGCCATAATCCCATATTTACAGTGTTTCAAAGTAGGAAAACACTTTAATGGTTGGTGTTGACATCTTTTAACAGCTCACTTCATGGTAGTTTAGCAGATATGTACCACTGTAATAAATATTATTCCACAAAATCTCTGCAAGAAATTGGTTAATGTCTTATGTCTATTAGTTTGCATTTACATCTGAAATGAACTTAAAGTGTAATAATATTGAGTTACCTATGCCTGCTTCCCAGTGTTAAATTTAGAGGAAAACTTATTGCTGGTATGTTTATAAATTGGTGCACCTTTTGATCTGTGTCCACAAACAGCTAAACATCTGATGTTCAGTATTAAGGCTAGTTTGGATCCCTTATCTAAATTCTAGTCTCACTGTTGTATCTGATTCCATTTAGTAAAGTCTGTGAAGTAATGAAACATTCTCCTGGCTCATGTAAATTGTTAATTTAAGAATACAGTACACGAAATTGCAGATTTACAAAGCAATGTTCCATTATTTTGCATATTTCACTAAACTGAATCAAGTAGAATACATATCAGGTTATCTACACTTTTAATCTTTTAAAAAATGGAAATATATTTGATAATTAAGTTTCATTTCATTAATTTATTAATTTCCAGAAAGGTTTCAGTAGCTCAGTACTTCGTGGTATCTTTTCAGCATGACAATTTTCAAGGAGCAGGGATAGTTGAACAAAGTACTGTTATTTTTCAATAACTACAATATGCAACACTCATGTTCTCTTTTGGTTTTTTTTTTGTTTTGTTTTTTTGTTTTTTGCTTTTACTTTTATGAATCTGTAAATATTCTGTTCTATTCTTCTTAAAAGATGAGAATGTAAGAGTACTGGTCAAATTCAGGTACATAATAAATTGAAGTAAATGGATAAATAACTGAAACAACAGGAACTAAGGGTGTTGTGTGTTGATCATAAACATTGTCTTAATCAGATTTATTATAGACAAATCCAAGCAGAATATGTTTTGAAATAATTGAAATTATTTGTATTCTCCTTAATTTGCATACTAATTAATTCTATTTTTAAAAGTCTATACTTAGTACTATTGTATTAAAGCCAGATTTGCTTCTTGTTTATATTTTCTGAACAATAACAAATAAGTTTTATATTTGCAACATTTTCTTCCCATTTTATATGAAATGGAATTGAAGGCCCAAAGGAGGTAGAACACATATTTTGAATAAATCGTTCTATGTACTGAATTTATTTTTGCTTTCTTGTATATATGAAAAAGTGATTAGATTTCTAATCCGTACAAATAGAACAACTAGTAATTGAGTGAACTATTTATTTAGGAATATTTGTTAGCTTCTCTTCAGTCATGGTGCTCAGACAAGTTATAAATAAAAGAAATAGCATAAAATTAATCAAAATGCATGTCAAGCATTGAAATCTAGTTGCTTTCAGCACACAATGAACAGAAAAGAAAAAGGCATTCACAAACAAAAAGTTGTTCACTTGACTTGAGGAAGAAATAATTATAACACCAAGTGAATCTATTATTTATTTATAATAGTCTAAATTTTTAATGGATTCCAAGTATTGGACCTCTACAGCTAAGCCTTTCCTAGATAAGGATCAAGGCTCCATACATATAGGGAAAAATTGAGAAATATTTGGAGGGTTTTTGATTGTAGAGGGCACAACTTCAAGAATTCAGGCTGATTTATTTTTATAAAAGGTCATGAGGTTTCATTACTCTGCATGTTTTCAAATTCCTGGTTAGATTAGCATGAGTCTGCTTGAGATGAAAATGATTGCATTTGTGGTATATCAATCAAAACGTGCCAAAACTGAAAGATCCTTTATTTCTTGTTCTTTAAAGAATGCAACATATGGTACCAATATGACTAAACTGGTGTCCAATCTATATCATCTCTATATTACTGTGTGTTCAATTCAATTTTATTCATGTCCAAAAGGACCAAAAGAATATTACTTTGTGTTGTGTAAAAGTCTTCATTGACAAAATACTTGACAGGTGACAAAAGTTCATATTTGTGGGCTCACTTGGTGACAACAATAGCATCTCTTGGAACTTGGAACATAAGAGGAGTAAATGGCAAAAGACTATGAAATAACTATTGAAATGAATGATCAACATGGAGGAAAGAAAACAAAATAGCAGTTGTATCTGTGAAGCTAAGGAAAAGGGAAAGAATGTCAGATGGCATTCTTTAATGTATGTAATGTATTTATGAATCAGTGTAGAATGCTTGTGGCAACAATAATAATGGGTTGCTTATATAAATACACCCAGGTACATGTTATTTTGTATGCAAAGAATGCCATATTGAAGGCTGAGAACCAAATTATTTTTAGCAGATATTAGATAGATGCCATGAAAAGTGTAAGGGGGGAAGGGAGAAAGAGACAGAGGGAAAGGGAGGGAGGGGAGAGAGAGAGAGAGAGAGAGAGAGAGAGAGAGAGAGATAAAGAAAGAGAGAGAGACAGCAGGATGGTTGTTTTCCAGAGAAAATGGAACAAGCAGTTACAATTTCTACATCTGTACCTTAGTAGTAGGATGTTTACTAAATATGGGGGACTGGAAAAAGAAATTATTTAGGCATGCAAAAATTGGGATAAAGGTGAAGTATAATATGTGGTCAATTATAAGGAGCAAATATCAAAATCAGCAAAAATGGTTGCATATTAAAATTAAAGTTTGAATTGGATATTGCAGCAGAAACATCAGAGTTAGTTGGATGCCATGGGAATTAAGTTGTGTGAATGGTTGAACAAGAAGTGTGTGGGTAAAAAGATAAATGGGTGCTGAATGAATGTGGATACGAAAGTGATGGCAAGTAGGAAAGGGGTGTGTTCAGGTGGTTTGTTCACAGAAAAGAAATGGGAAGTGAATCACAAAACAAATATATGAAGAAAGGGGACAATTAAAGTTGTAGTTGAAAAGAGTTGATGTGATTTTTAGAAAGTGATAGGTGAGAAGTTTAAAGAACAAAGAGGTATAAAGGTAGCATAAAGGTAAAGGTTCCTCTCGCATATATGTGCTAGTTGTTCCCAACTCTAGGAGCCGGTTCTTATCTCCGTTTCAAAGCTGAAGAGCCAGCGCTGTCCAAAGACGTCTCCATGGTCATGTGGCTGGTATGACTAAATGCCATAGGCGCACGCCATCCCACCCAAGATGGTCCCTGTATTTCTACTTGCATTTTTTACATGCTTTTGAACTAGTTTGGCAAAAGCTGAGACAAGTAATGGGACACCCCATTACATGGCACTAGGGATTTGAACCACTGAACTGCTGACCTTTCTATCGACAAGCTCAGCATCTTAGCCACTGAGCCACCACATCTCTCATGAAGCAGCATATAGTTGATAATTTCCACCATTCCCTATATTTTCCATAGTTTCCTAGCCTTGCAAACTAGCATGCCAGCTAGCATACTAGCATAAGCCAGATGTTTCCTTTCCTTTTATCATTTTATCCCTGTTGGTTTTGGTTTATAATTTATTATTTCTTCTATGTTCTTTTCATAATGTTGCTTATCCCAAAAGGGAAATGATGTATATATGTAAGTATGTATGTATGAGTATAATAAGAATTGTTTTGACTCTCAGGGTTAGGGTTTTTTCCCCCCTGATTATATTGTATATATTTCTATAATTGAATGTATACTGTCATGGAATCCTTGGAAAGCAATTTAGAATTTTCTAAAAATAAATAATATAGAAATAAATGAAAAAAAGCTCCGTACAAGTTACCGCAACATAAAGCCATCATATAGCTTTCATTCTAAAATAGTGCTAACAGTGTAATACTATAATACTGACAGAAATATTATTTTCCATATATCAATAAGATAAAGCTCATGGTACCAAAACAGAGATAACTGGAGTTTAAAAAAAGAACAGAACAGATTTGTGTGTCAAGTTCAGTAGCTACAGTTGAAGCCATCAAAGTTATCTTGTAGGTAGAAATATCACTACGGGCATTTATATTCTATCTATTATCTCAAAAATTTTAAACATTGACGTAATTTTAAATTATATCAGTGTTTAACGTTGATGTAATTGTTTACATGTTTACATTTTACTGGCAAATAAAAATTAGCACTCTACAAAGCAAAAAAAAAAAACACCTGAAAAATAGTATTTTATTTACAAAATTTCACCTGTGTGTCACACAAGAACACATTTCCAAAATAAAAATGATAAGCTGTTGCTAGGTTGAAAATAACCCGCCCCCAAAGATAACGTTGGGTATAGATAACATCTTCAGAAGTCTGCTGGGGTAGCAGAAGTCAATCTTCACAGTTTGTCTATTTTAGGTATATTAAAAGTGACAGCGCCCTATTCTCTCCTCAAGGGCTTGGATTTAGCCATTTTAGATAAATACCACCTAATCACCAGTCTTACTTTTGGAGGAAGGTTAAAGAGAGAATGGTACACTTTCACTTGCATTGTGCCCTAAAGGAAGCAGATGTGGATACTTTTTATTCAGACAGAAATCACATTAGTCACACTGTTGGATGATGAGCAACTGGACTTGAAGGAGGGGAATGTGCCTCCTCTTGTCACGTATCTTAGCAGCATCCAAACTATTACCGTATTTTCCGGCGTATAAAATGACTTTTTAACACATGAAAATCTTCTCAAAAGTCGGGAGTCGTCTTATACGCCGGGTGTCGTTCTCCTGTAACCAGGCAGACCAGCCCGAAAGGC